TTTACTTATTTTAGAAAAAAGAATGAGGAATAAATAGAAATTCAATTTTTTTTTTGAATTTCAATGTTTGATAGGATATATATATACACTCACATATATTTCGAAAGTTAATTATTTTAGAAGAAGAAGAAGGAGGAGGAGGAGGAGGAGGAAAAACAAAGAAATAGATATTCAAAAATTTATTTCAATTTCAAGATTTGATATGATATATATAGACACACACTCATGTATTATTTTCGAGTTTTATAAGGTATATATACACTCATATACTTTTGCATTATTTTTGAGTTTTTTTAAACTATTAATTTTTTAATTTTTTAATTTTTTTTTTATGTGCATCAAATCTCTTTGATTGCGAATGTTTATGTCATGACCCGAACCCGCCCTTATGGGTTTAGGACATAACCGGCCAGTAATCAAGGGATTACCTACGGCCTCAAACGAAACCAGACATAACTCATCAGAGTAAAGGGGCCTAACGGAAGCAAAATTTAAAATTTTGTCCATAGAGCTGTGCTTACATGGCACATCATAACAAACCATGCATATACATGTTAATAACTCACATCAAAATATGTACTAATACAAATAACTCTGTACATACAAGATCATTCAGTCTGGGTCAGCCAATCAAAACTATATACAAACATAAACCAAGGTCCTCGCCGACATGACAAAACAAAACAAGATAGCAAAAGGGCGAAGACGAGTCTCGTGCGTGAGACGTAAGGGCTGACTCTTCAAAACCTTGGTTGTTCCACACGGACTTCACTGAGGCTGGATTGGGACCTCTCTTCGCTTATCTACAAACACATGAATGAGCGTGAGCGAAAGCTCAGTGAACAATATCAATAAAAAAGTTACACAAATGGTATTTAGAACAACATGTTTTAAACGGCCTTGGGCCCAATTCGCATTTCTATCCAACATATGTACAAAAATATGTGAAAACCCATCTTTTAATTATTCTTTAAAGAAAATTTATTAATTAATTTTGTCTACAGTCTATCTGAATTATACATTAGTGTAAAAGTTAGTTTTAAATTGACTCAATTCAATCACTAACAAGACATTATTAAGAATAATAATTTTGTGGGTGTTCAATATTTGTTGTTTATAAATTATTTTAATTATGATTCAATATAATAACTATTCTTACTAAATACCTTAGTTAAAAATCTTAGTGTGTCAATTTTCAGAAACCCACACAAAAAAAATAAAAATAAATAAATAAATAAATAAATAAATACAAGCAAACAAACCATGGGCAAACAACCCATAGTTCCTACCAAACCCACCATCTCTTAGAAATTAGGAAACCATAAAATTTAGGAAAAGCCATGGAACTTGGAGAAAGAGAGCAAAGAATTTAGTGAAAGCAACATTTCTTAGAACTTGGAGAAAGTGGATGGATTTATTAAAAAAAAAAAAAAAATGTGTGAGAGGGAGGGAGAGAGAGCTAGCCTCAGAGAAGATCTATAAAATGCACCTAGTGGTCATGCACATTTTGAAGGCTAAGCATAAACCATATACATCCAATTAGAGGGAATTCTTGTGGAAGAAGAGGAGGAGGTTGAGGTTGCATATTTTCCTACCATTTCATTATTCCATTTCAATCCTACTACTAAGTAAGAAAACCCTCTCAACCCTCTCATTTTTTTTTTTTATAATTGAAATTTTTCCGATTATTTACATTTGATACATTGTCTAAAACTGTGTTGAGAATAATCTGTCTTGAATCTGCCAGCATGTTACCCGAATTTTTAGACAATTTTATACTCAGAATTTCGAGATGATTTCTTCTAAAACGTTGTTGATAATGATATCTACTTTATCCAGAAATTTTTGGAAACAATTTTTGAGCTTTCTACGAATTTATACAAATTTTTAACTAAATCTGAAACTGTGTTGAGAATAATCTGTCTTGAATCTGCCAACATGTTACCCGAATTTTTAGACAATTTTATACTCAGAATTTCGAGATGATTTCTTCTAAAACGTTGTTGATAATGATATCTACTTTATCCAGAAATTTTTGGAAACAATTTTTGAGCTTTCTACGAATTTATACAAAAAATTTAACAAAATCTGAAACTGTGTGACAGATTTTACCTTATATTTGAAAATTTATGTAAAATTCTATACTAAGCCGAATCTGGTAATTTCTAACTAAAAGATGAAATTTGAGAAGTCTAGTTTCATGATAAATTTTTAGATTATGGGTCTGGGAAGAACAAATCCGTGCGGGCATGACCCAAAGCGGACAATATCGATGACGTGTAAAGGGGTCGGGGCGTTACAATATAGGTCAAGTGATTGCGGTCCCAAACACATCATACGGCCTCGGGTCCAATTCATTCATGTCATACGGCCTCTGGCCCACTTATCTTTCATACCTGTCAAACTGGCCTTTGGCCCAATTCATACTTTCATGTTAAACCGGCCTTTGGCCCATTCATACTTTCGTGTCAAACTGGCCTTTGGCCCATTCATTCTACCATGTAAAACTGGCCTTTGGCCCATTCATTCTATCATTCAGATAATACTGGCCTCTAGCTCATTTATTCATTTATATCAAACTGGCCTTTGGCCCATTCATTCTATCATTCAGATCATACTGACCTCTGGCTCATTCATTCATTCATGTCAAACTGGCCTTTGGCCCATTCATTCTATCATGTCAAACTGGCCTTCGGCCCATTCAAACTAGCATTCAGATCATACTGGCCTCTGGCCCACTTATTCGGCATAGCAAACATTGTCCACCAATCGAGTCAACGAACTTATAAAACTTACATAGGAGTAAGCAATTGGACAATAACATATTTCAGATATCTTTGTTAAGATATTACTCACAGTGATTGGTTGGTTGGTTTGCCCTGGAGCTTGACCCTACACATCACATAACACATACGGGTCACAAATGATTCAATCCGTTCTTTAATTCACATATTCCTCTTTAGGCTTTATTCTTATCCCTTTAATTCATTTACAATGCTTAATGTATGCCTAAGAGTACTTAGAAGTGAAAGAGAATAGAAAACGAAACACAGAATGCACTTTCAAAATTTTCAGAAACAGGGTCCCCGCTCGAGCAGACCCATGAGGCCTGCAAAAGTACTATCAAACACGTAATCATATTTATAATAAGGACACACAAAATTATATCAAACACGTAATCATATTTATAATAAGGACCAATTAGCATAATACGGAACAGGGTTATCACAGTTTAGTCTTTGGATTTGTATTTAATTATTTTTATATTTAATTTTTTAAAATTTGTATTCAATTAAGAATATTAAATTTGACTAAAATTATTTTTATATTCAATTTTTTTAATTTATATTTTTAATTTTTTAATATATTATTTTTTATAAATTTATACACCTATCACGTGTGTCCAATCACTAGTTATTGTTATTATATATCCTACCTTAGCACGTGTTGCAGGTGCATAAGTTTTAGCATAATGTCCAAACAAATTTTAAAAAGGTTAAAAAAATAAAATAAAATAAATAATGGTGCATCTTTTGGTGGTGGTGTGGGTCAGGAGATTCCATTGTCCCAACTCACATAACGCTTACTACTATGTTATATTTTGGCCACACAAACAAAGGCAGGAAACAATATTATGATATTTGTGGCCTAAGCAATCTGAGAGACAGAGAGAGTGTGTCAGAGAGAGGGATTTTCTCACTCCATTAAGGTAACAAATATCTGAGCTCGAAAAAAAAAAAAAAATGTAATAAATATTTTTCTTTTTTTCAACAATTAATAATTGTGAAAGAGTGACTTTAATGTATTTTAATTTTCAATTAACTAATAATTTAGAGAAATTTTAAATTCAAATTAATTTAACAACTAAAAACTTCTGATTTTAAAGATATGTTGCAAGTTTATGTTTTAAAATATAGATTTTCTATTTCAACTATGTGATAGAAAATATCTACATTATTAGAAGAAAAAAAAAATATTGCGTGTACATTGACACTTTTTTACATTACATGGAGTTATCAATTAATAAAAAATTACAAATAAAATTATGTAAACAAATTTTATCTTTTACTAATTTAATCATATTATATTCTGTATTAAAAAATGATATTACTTATTGTCCGGTGAAGTTATCATTATATTCAAATATATGTTCAGAGTGAGAGAGAGAACATCCTAACAAGTTTAGATCTATTGTAGATTTAATAGATATTTGACATAATTTTTTGAGGTAACAGAGGAGTGGGTGGGGTAGGGTGGGGGGCATATTATGACCAACTGCACAGAACAGAGGAGTCGAGTGTGGGTGGGAAAATTATTTTATACTTCTGAACCATTGTTAGATAGTGTTTTAAAATAGTAATTGTTGAATTAAATTATGAAATTTATCACTTTTGTGTTAGAGATTCACACTATTTTTATGCTAGAATTATCTGAGACAATTGATAATATGTTTAACCTGTAAATGAAAATGAAAAGAAGTAATATAATACTCCCAAAACTTTGAATAATTTTTCGCGTGGGATAGGCACTTTCATAATTCCCCATTTGACTGAGCTTACTTGGTCATCTATTTGATTTTAGGTCAAGTTTGGCTACTACAAAATAATCTATCTTTTTATCTTTTTTTCATCACATCACCTCTCTACTTTTCTGCATATATTTTCGTAAAAAGATAAAAAATATACTTATTTAGGTCATTCCAAACAATCCCTACTTATTATTTCAAGCCTTTGTGTGCCACAAACTCAGGTAACACAAACAAACAGTTTTACAACACATGTACAAGTTTCATTCCAAAGACAACCTCCCCATTGCTTTAAGGGAAGGGAAGGGAAAAATACGAGGATAGGATATAGTTAAAATGGTTAAAATTTTTGGAGATTGAGGATCTCTAACTAGTAGATTAATATTAAAAAAATTCTAAAGACATATATAATTTGATTGTAATACAACCCTCTCACTCACATATTTAGATGAATTATTCACATAAAAAAAAAAAAAAAAAACTAGTAGATTAGTCCTATTAATATTAAAAATTCTTCTACATGTATTCATAAAATCAAACACGATTCTTCCATATAAATAAATGAATACATGTGACACCGAATGAAATTTATTGTAGTAAAAATTGTGTGATTAGATTAGATAAGGCGCAGTGGAATTATTCTTAGACTAGACAAATCTTGTGAGGAGAGCTGCTTTGAGTCCATCCTCAGTGCTGAAACCATCAGGAGCCCTAATGACAACGTCTTGAAGCATGAGATGGTTAACGCTTGACATGCTGGCATGGTAAACCGGCAATTCGAGATCTCTGAGCGCATCCATTAGCCTGGCTGCAGGATAATTAGAGTTGTCCGATTGAACCCTAATCATTGCATCGGACCCAACAATCTTGACTTCAACCTCTAAACCCCCCGATTCAGAATTATTAGCCGTCCTAATTTGCTCCACCGAAGTGGTGGCGCTCTGGTTGTCGGCGGTGGTGTCCGCCACCTCCGTCTTCACTTTCTTTAACTCTCTCTCCACCTGAACTTGTTGCGCTTCCAACTCCTCTACTTTCGCCTTCAGCTCGTTGATGTATGAGACCGCGTCCGACAGCAGCGATGCCTTGTCCATCCTCGACACGTTCGGCACAACCGCACGCAGCGCGTAGAACCGGTGGTTCAGCTTCTCTCGCCGCTGCCTCTCTGCTTCCACGTGATTCAGCGGCGTCTCCCTCCCTACACCCGGCTTTCTCCCTCTCTTCTTCGGCGCCGCTTTCTGCTGCTCATGTGCCGCAACAAGAGGACAATCCGAATCTGAAAGCTCAGATTCGGCATTGGTTTCTCGTTTGTTGATGACGTTGATGTTGATGTTGTTGATGTTGTTGTTGTCAAAACTGTCATCGTCGTCTTGTAAACCTGCAACAATTCCGATATCGGCAAAAGAAATGTTTCTCTCAAGAAAGTGTACAGAGCCACTGCCATTATTACTAGTGTTTGGGAGTTGTTTTGGGAGATCTGAACCAAACAGTGACTTGGCTTGTTGCACCAAACCCCAGTTTTCTTTAATCACATCGCTCGAACCCAATTCAACAACTCCATTACAGGTTGGAATACAAACAAATGTCTCAATGCCATGGATCTGAGCTTCTTTAGCTCTTTCACAGTTGTAAAATTTAAGTTGGTGGCCTCCACATAACCAAACCAAGGAGCCAGAACTAAAAGACTTCCCGGGAACGCCGTCTCCGGCCGAGAAAGACCGAGTTAACGACATGGAATAGAACCACTCGGCGGCGGTGACGTCACCGTCGCCGTCGGAGGGAGAGTTTTGTTGACAAGTGGTGAGGATGGATGGTAAGGGCCTTGTGAGCTTAGTCTTTCGGTCTCTGATGGGTTTGGTGGGGGGGAGAGAAAGTGAAGATGAGGAGGAGTGTTTGGTTCCCTGGAAACGGCCGTCAAGCCAAGAGAGGAAGAGACGGCCATTGTGGTCGGTGGAGGATTGCCAGAAAATGGCGTAGACCCACCAGTCTGGCTGGGTCTGGAGGATCAATTGAAGCCTTTGTTGGAGTGTTGGTGGTGGGTTTTCATGGGATGATGATGATACAAATGAAGAAGATGAAGATGAGGAGATAATTAAATCTGCCATGGTATGTTATGTTTACAGACAGAGAGAGAGAGGGGGGGGGGAGACGGTCGAAGATCTAAAAGGGAGTGACTGAGTAGCAAACAAGTGTAGTTGGGTGGGGGTGTGAATCGCTTCCTTTTTGCTTGCTTTTCTTTTCTTGTGATTTAAAAAGAATACTCTGTAGGTATGGTGCTGGATTCCTAAGACACACATATATATATATATATATATCTATCTATCTATCTATCTATATTATTATTATAAAGTGAACAAGAACTTTGGTGTCCTGAAGCTTTACTCTCTTCATGCTATGTGGCAGTTTTCATGCCATGTGGCAGTATTTTTTATTTTTTAAAAAAAAACTTAAACAAAGAGATGGGCAAGGCTTGAACCCATGACCATGGGTTTAAGTACGAGAACTCATACTACTTAAGCTAAGTACACATTATAATATTAATTTCATTATTATTATTTTTTATTCCTACTTATTTAAATTGCACACACATCGTGTGTGCCACCCACTAGTATATATATATAGAGAGAGAGATATGTGTGTGTGTAAACATCATAGGACATAAGTGAGATTGTATTTTAAGTGCAAGAGTAACATTTCTTTGTAACATATATATATATATATATATATATAGGGTTTGTTTGGGAAGTGGATTAATTTTTTGATTTTTTGATTTTTTTGGCAAAGGTATTGCCTTTAATATATTAATTAATTTCATATTATTAAGTTTAAAAATTATTTCTATTTTTTTTAATCTTCAATAGCATTACTGGTCCTACATAAAAAATAAAAATAAAAAATAAAAAAATAAAAACCTAAACCTCTAACCTCTCATTAATGAAAAATAAATAAATAGTAATATATTTACTCTCTTCAAAATTATTAAGGTGTTTGACATCTAATTTAAAAGAGTAATCCATTCAAACTGAAAAATTAAATTTATTTTTCAAGTCCAACCACTCTTATGTGTTATTCTTTTCTATTATCTTTTTTAATTATCAATTAATTATTTTAATTACACATCATTAAATTTCTAAAATAATAAAAAATAGACTTGTGTATCGTTTTTTAATTTAGAATTGTTTATTCTTTTTTTTAATGGACCATCTTACTCTTAACTTCTGTTCATACTCTCTACGAATAGTATTAATTTAACTAAATTAATATAATCTAAAAATTAATAATAATTTTTTTTTAAAATATTGCTATTCAAATCTAAAAATTATACTTACTTTTCAAATTCAATGTTGTGGTAATCAAATTATACTTACTTTTCAAATTCAATGTTGTGGTAATCAATTAGGATATATAAGATAACTGTATCTCTCATCAATGTACTATTATAACTGCAAGACATTGTTAATAAGGCTGAAAAAGTTACAATTTTTTTTCTCATTCTTTTGATTTTGTTTTATTTTTATTAATATGTGTCACAATATGATTGGTCAATAAATTAATTTATATTTTTAAAATAAAATTTAAAATTTAGATTCCTTAAATTATGTTATCATAATTGGAATAAAATCAATATTCATTCCACAATTTATGCATTCTTTATTAAACTATAAAATAAAATTTTAAATTTAAATTCTTGATTAAATTATGTTACTGTAATTAAAATGAAATTAATATTCACATGTGTCATAATATTATTGGTCTAAACATAATATGTTATTAAATACATGTGTTCAAATTGTTAAATGCTATTAAAAGTTTATATTTTTATTTTTTGTTTTAAATTTTATTAAAAAAAATTATATTCTTCTAAACTATAAGGATTTGAACAATAAATTTTTTTAATACAAATATTTTTTTAACAAAAGACATAAACATTAAGAAAATGAATGACTTTTTTAACACTTGCAAAAAATGGTGGATTCTGTTAAATTTTTTTTAATCTCAATTGTTAATTAAACAAATTAAAATAAAAAAATAAATTTTTTTAACTTAAATAGTTAAGAAGTGACTTTTGCTAAAATCAAATAGAAATAAACATTATTATTTTTTATTTAAAGTGATAGTTCGAGAAACTTATTTTTTTATATAATAAATTTTTTTTATGTAATAAAAAAATAGGAGTTATATGAGATTAAAAATTCACACTTTCACCTAAAATAATTTGGCAAGGGAGTTGGGCCTATGTTGTTGAGTTTATAGCAAATTCAGAGTAGACACATATGATACCACATCAAGTGGGAATAATTGTGAGTTTCAAACATTTTCTTTATTATTCATCTAGACCTTTTTAGCACTTGTGAAATATGGTGGATCCATTAATTTTTTTTTTTAATCTCAATTGTCAATTAAACAAACTAAAATAAAAAATATTATTTTTTGGCTCAAATTACTAAAAAATGACTTTTGCTAAAACAAATAGAAATAAATGTTATTTTTCTATTAAAAGTGATGGTTCATAAAATATTTTTTTTATTAAAAAAAATGACGGTTATAGGTGATAATTTATTGGTTATTTAAAATTAGTTTTAGATCTTTTTTTGGGTGGGTAATTATTTTCAGATCAAATGAGAATATCATTCTAAATTTTCTTCTTACTTTTTTTTTTTATCCATATACTTTTATTTTGTAAGAAATTTAATTTTATTATATTTAAATTATTTTATGCCATTATAAATATAATTTTTTAATATCAACTTATTAGATAATCTCTTTTTAAAAGGAGTATTTTATAAACATAATAAAAAAATTCGATTAAAAAAATTTAAGCATATTGCTTTTGTTTTGGTTCACCAATATTAAAATTTTAATTAATTTTATTTATTATTAAAAATAAGTAAATTAGCAAATAATGTTATATATTTATATATACAATTTTGTTTCAACTGCTCTAGTTATTTTGTGTCTCCGCCCAAATCCACTCAAATTTATTTGAATTTTACATAGGTTCTCGCCAAATTAAAATTTATGTTGTCCAATCTTTAAAAAGTTTCAAGTTTGACTCGAATTGTTTGGGTTGAATTGGCCTGAGTTTACCACTCTAACAAGAGGTTTGAAAGTTATATGATTGAAATTGTGATAAATAAAAAATTAATACATAAATTATGATAAAATTGTCAAACTTAAATTGTAGGTTTCAATATTTTTTTTTGTTTTAACAATTTACATACAAAAATCTAACTATTTATATTATTTTATATAAAAATATTTTATTAATTTTTTCATATCCTATGCAGAGTACGGGTTTTCACTAGTATTTTTTTTAATTATTAACTAATCATATTATTTACACATCATTAAATCTAAAAAATACATTTAAAAAGTGAGCTCGTATATCATTCTCTTTTATTTAAAGGTAAGTTACAAACACACTCTCTAAATTTTGCTTAAAATATGAATTGTTTTTATAGTTCTGAAAATTACGTTCCGTTGCTAAAAAATTTTAATTTCATAACAAATTGTGCTTTTTATTAATAAATTATCAAGCTAATTAATAATTTTTAATGATATTAAAAATTTATTTCAATTAATAATTTAATTAATTTTACTATTTTTTAGAATAATAGTTTAAGATTTTTATCCAAACATAGTATACAAGGATGGATATAGTATGTCCATAACTCTTGCATAAAAAATTATAAAATTTCGTAACAAAAATAAAAAAATATCATAATTTTGTCATCACAAATGCCATAACTTTCTCACCACATAATGTTATAACAAAAATTATTCGTAAATTTAATGTACACATCATAAATTTATTTTTTGTAATTTTATCGCAAAATTACATAACACACCATATATATTAATCACTTTCTTTCAACATTTTCTTTTAAAATTACATATATTTTATGCTAACAATTTATAAATATGTTTGACATAATATAAATAGTTTTTTTTAAAAAAAAAAAATTAATCTCAACATTTATTAACTTTTCTCAACCCATAAGACTTTTTGACTTCTCTCATAATTATTGTAGTACCTTTTTAAAAACAAATAATTTGTATATTAAAAAAAATTTAAAACAAATATAAATATCTATATCTATATCTATCTATTTATTCATATCTATCTCTAACCCACAAGTTTTGTGGGAGTTCCAATATCTGAATCTTAATTTCTTAATTTTTTTGATTTTTTTTTGAAAAAAAAAACTTAGCACTTATTAAATTCTTCCAAATCTTTTTCATTTCTCCAATACACACTCTATTTAACTTTTTACAAACCTATTGCAAACAGTGAGTCTTCTTTTTGTTTTCTCCTTCTTGACTTCTCACTTCTACACTTTCAACTTCAGTAACCACGTATACAAACAGCAAGTCTTCTTTTTGTTTTCTCCTTTTTGACTATTCCTTTTGTTTACTGTTTTAATATTGTAGTTGGAGTTCCAATATTTGAATCTTAATTTCTTAATTTTTTTATTTTTTTTGAAAAAAAAAACTTAACACTTATTAAATTCTTCCAAGTCTTTTTAACTTCTCCAATACACACACTCTATTTAGCTTTTTATATACCTATTGCAAACAGTGAGTCTCCTTTTTGTTTTCTTCGTCTTGACTTCTCACTTCTACACTTTCAACTTCAGTGACCACTTATACAAACAGTAGGTCTTCTTTTTGTTTTCTCCTTCTTGACTATTCCTTTTGTTTACTATTTTAATATTGTAGTTAGATAGCGCATACAAATATTTGTGATTTGTCTAGCGAATAAAAAATTATATTTTGATTTTTTAATATGATTGAAGTTAGATAAATATAAATCCTCACAAAGAGAAAAATGTGATTATAATTAATTGAATGATTCTTTTTTTTAATGTGATTCAAGTTAATTTAATAGTTTTTTTTTCATTTATTTATTTTATTATGGGAAAAATGTGATGTGATTGTAATTTGTTCAATGGCTCTTTTTTTTAGTATGATAGTTGTAGTTAGTTCAATGTTTTTTTTTAATGTTATTTAATCTTTTCATTTACTATTTTAATTTTATTTTTAATATGATTGAAGTTAGATAAACATAAATACTCACAAAGAAAAAAATGTGATTGTACTTAGTTCAATGGTTCTTTTTTTTTAATGTGATTGTAGTTAGTCAATGGTTCTTTTATTTATTTATTTTTTTTTTTTATTATGAGAAAAATGTGATGTGATTGTAATTTGTTCAATGGCTC